AAATTGTTCAAAATATGTAGTATGCTCTATAATTGGTCCCAAACTATGTATTAAGCTCTATAAATTGAACTTTGTATCGAATCACAAGACTAAGGCATCTATTGAACTTTGTACCGTTCATGTTACGGATGCTCGCTTATAGTTATCTCCACTTGTGGAAACATGTTCATTTATTTGACTGCCAAAGAAAAACACAACGCTACCTCATCTTGGAGGCAATTTTGTCTTCCAGGTATATTTAAGCTCGAGAGAGTTTATCCATTTTGTTATTGTATGTTGATTCAAAATGAATGTTTTAAGAAAACCATTATCTTGATTTCTAGATTGTTACCACTGCTGTCTCCTTCATAGTTGAGTTCTATAGGATGAGGCAAACTCCAGAACATGGTCTCTTGGAGCTAAATATTAATGCAGCATGGACTCAAGATAGCCGAGGAATTGGAGGTATTGTTAGGGATGAAGATGATCATATTATGGCCGCTTTTTTCAGAAGGGAGTGGAAAGTATTAGCCGCTGAACATGTTGAATTGAGTGCAATTATCAATGGTTGCAATGGGACTAGAAGTTGGGATAGAAGAGTTCATCTTGGAGGGTGATTCTGTCAATGTTAGTTAAAAGATTGATTAGTGATGAGGCAGACTTATCTATGCCAGGTAGTCTGGTTGACAAAGCTAGAAAATTGCAAAAGAGTTTCCAGAATGTGCAAGATTTCACATGTATGTAGAACAGCGAACAAAGGAGAAACATTGGCTGGATTATGCTGAAGCATTGGCTGGATTATGCTGAAGCGATCAAACTGGCATTGTGTAAAGCAAAGGAGAAACATTGGCTGGAGCCTGGAAGTGAACGTGCAACTTTCATCTCAACAATTGCTGCGCTGTTTGAAGACGAACAAAGTAAAAGACGACTTTTTGCTCAACTGGAGGGCATTCAAATATTAGGATCATTGTTTATGAAATGCTCATTTAGCTTGACATCTCACCAAAATAGTATGACAAGTAGAATGATGCTCTTATGCTACTAAGTTAATACAATATGAGAAATACTTGAATCCTCAGTGTCTAAGTACACGTTTGTAAAGCTCAATATGAGCCTGTGCTCAAAGTTGTATAGCTTGTTTTAATATCAATAATATTTCTAATGTTATTGTTAAAAAAAAAAAAAGAGCGAGCAAACCTGCTAATGTGTTAGCCAAAGTAAATCTTAGGGGTGTGCATTCGGTGCAAAAGCGGTAATTTGGTGCAATGAATTCGGTGAATTTGGTTATTCGACCTATAGAAATCTAAACCGTTTTCAATTTCGAATTGGCCATAACCGAATTCATTCCGCAACCGATTTCAAATTCGAAAACGGTAATGAATTCGGTTAGACCGAATTCATCTATTAAAAAAAACTGATTTTTTAAAAATTATTACTTATTTGATCCCCAAATTTATTCATAATTTAACACATTACTTATATTCTAATCATTTTGTGGTTTAATTTAATTGGCATTTATTTGATCACTTATACCTAGAATCCTTAGTCTATGATTTAAGGAACACATAAAAAGTGATTAATTTAAACTAGAATAAACCTTAGACTGTACAATGATTAGTGATAATTTATGAATTTATAATTTACAATGATTAATAATATGTAATACAAATTTACAAATTACAATGATTAGTGATAAGTTATATTAGTTACAAACTTATAATTTATTTCAAATCAAAATAAAACTTATTTACTTACATATGTTATTGTGAAAGTCAATACACTAATACATTGATTTGCAATTCACATGCATTCACTTACACTGTTTAGTTGTCTTGTCTATACTTAAAGCCTTAAGATTAGTGAATAGATAATATGAATTTTTATGTTAAATATGTAATATAAATTTAGAGCACACTAATACTTGCAAGTTACAGATTACGCATTCAAATATTCGATAATTCAAACATGAATGATCAATGATGTATCAAATTACCAATATCTAAATTCTAATTACTAATATCTAAATTCTAATTACTAATTATGTTTATTGTTTAATATTTAGTATTATACATATACATATATTAATTATTATCTAATTCTAGTCATGTTACTCATGTATAAAATAATAAGTAGTTATCTTATATTGTTATGTATTACTATATATTTCTATTATTATAGTCATATAACAATTAACAAATACTAAAATAATATATTGTACATTATTATATATTATTATTATTATAAGTACATGATATGATGATAATACCATATACTAATTATTATTAATAGCATTTACCTATTTAATATAATAATATATTAGTAGTATATACTAATACTAAATAGCATTTATCTATATATTATATAATTTTATATACCAATTTGGTATTCGAATGCGGTAATGCGGTACCCTATTTCAATTACCGAATTTGAATGCGAAATTGGTTATTACCAAATTCATAATCTCATTACCTATTTCATACCATATTAGAATTCGGTGAATTCGATATGTATCGAATTTGTACCAAATTACCAAATACCCGATTTCAAATTACCAATTTGAATTTGAATTCGATTATGAATTCGGTATGAACCGAATTTGCTCACCCCTACTATATCTAATTTAAATGAATGAATGATAGTATTTATCTTTATCCTCAAAAAAAAGGGTCGTATAAGATGAGGAACTGTTGATGTAAGTGAACTCATGCAATGTTATTAATCACTGAAATTGGCTCTGAGGTTAGGGGAGAGTTTTTAGAATTTTTCGCACTATGAAATTTAAGATTCGAATTTGGATGTAGTTGGTGGATGAAAAGGGTACGGGGAGGGTTGAAGGTATTTAAAAAAAAAAAAAAACAAACTCATGCAATGCCATTGTCATTAGATCTCTTAATTCTGCTTATTTTGACCCGCAAAGAGAAAGGGAGACTTGGCAAAATATACGTCGTAGGGTTTAAAAATTTCTAACGATAGTCCATTGCTTAAAATTCAACCACAAAAGTTTTCAAAAGCAACTTGAAAACATCAACTGATTTTTGGGATTTTAAAGAAGTGATGCGTAAATCTTTTCAAATTCTTTTTTGTCAATTCAATGAAATTCACTTCTTATTCTAATTCTAATAGCTCCATAGAAACCCCTTTATATACTATTAGATGTGGTCAAACAATAGTTTTTTTTTTTTGGTTACTATCATTGGAAATTGGTGAGCATCAAAATTTTATTTCTGGATTAGTTTTCCAATGCATTGATTGTGGACTAGTACAGTATCGTTCATTATTTATATATTCTTTTAACAAGGATGAATTTTGCCGTGATAGCTCTTATACCACAACAAAATTTTGAAGGGATGATTTCAGAAACCTCCCTTGAGGTTTCTGGCAATTTCACTCAGCTCCCCCCAATTTTGGAAAGTTACACTGACCTCCTTTACTTTTAGTGTTTAAGTAACATTATAGACTCATCGGCTAGAATTATATTTAAGTATCCTAAAATATCCTTATGCAATGTCATACATCAGAAGAAAGTGAGAAAAAGGTTTAGTGAACAATTTAACCAGAAAAAAAAAAAAGAAACACTTTCATCTAGACTTGCTATTCTTCCATGATAATTGTAAATCCAAAACCTCATCAACTTGTTCAAGCAAACTCCAACTTAATCCCCAAATTCTATTAATTTTGGCATCACTAAAATCCCAAAATTTAGTAAAATCGCACTCCAAGTTAATCCCTAAATTCTATCAATTTCGGCATCATCAAAATCCCAAACTCAACCTAAATCACTTCCTCTACAAATCAACCATAACAACCACCACCAACTAAAATACCCTCAAAAAGTTTCCCGCCCCAAATTAACACTATATTTTTGTCTATTGACTAATCTCACATATCAAATTATGAACCCAACACCTATCATCTATTATCTTCCTTGAACATAAAAGGACCTAGCTAACCATTATTAATGCCTGCCACGAGCAACCCTATACTCCAGTGGCATTACGTACAGAGAAACTAATTTTTGTGACAAACCACCATCAATACTTGTAAATCAAACAAAAATGAAACCAAATAAAGATATTAGATTCTAGTGCGTAATAGACGTAATAGACATAGTAGCATAACCCAAATTTGTCCCTTTTTCTCTTCCAACCATAACTCTTTAATTTCATTTTTCCCCTCCATCACAACCATTTTCATCATCTCCAACTAATTTGACCATGAAAATTTCATTTGCTCCCTCAATTTGTAATTTTGGAAATTTTGATTCTTTAATGTATGCAAATTATAACACAAGAAGAAATAAACAAGAGGGGCTAATAGTTAAGTACCACGGAAAGAGAGAAGTATACAAGAAATAAACAATTTGGGTAGGTTTGCATAGTGATGTAATTGATTGGGGGAAAAGACTATGAGATTATAGGTAGGAATGAAAGAATTATAAGAGGTAGAAAAAAGGGAGGAAAAGAAAAAAAAAATTGGTATTAATTAAAGTAAGGTTGAGGATGATGATGAGTTGTTGCAGGTTTTTATTTTTTCTTTTACTTTTGGTTTGGTTTTCGTATCCCACATATATGGTAAATTATCTATTAAATAGAGGGTATTGTAGTCATTTTATTGAATCGAGGGAGGTTAATGTAATTTTCTAAATTTGGAGGCAGCCGAGTGAAATTGTCAAAAACATCAAGGGAGGTATTTGACGACGTCCCCCGCCCCACCCCCGCCCCATTGCCATCCCTAGGTACAAGCAGTTCTAATATCTAAAGTTTAGACAAAAATAAATACAATCTCAAATGATCAATTTCTAAGCACATTTAGTCTTATTAATTAATATTTGTCAATTGGTACTTGAATTTGATTATTCGCCAGCAATTAATTTTCTTAAAAAAAAAGTTTATTAATTCCAAATTAACTCACACATGGCAGAGGCTTGATTGGGAAGCCATTTTTCATCAAAATATTTTTATGTTTTTCATAAATAAATTTTCAATTATTTTTTTATCTCACATATATTAAATTATTACAATATATTTTCTAAAAAACTTCAAAAAAATTGCAATGCATACAGGTGTATCTGAATTTATTTTATGTCACTACCCATCGGCCAACCTAGCCTCCCCTGCCGCGATAACCTTCTCCTTGCTTGAGGAAGCATCAATCGCCCTTCGCCTTCTCCGCCACCCGCTTTCTGTACTTTTAAGGGGTCTTGACGAGACAAGATTGGCCTAAAGATTGGTACGGAGATTAGTTTCTTATTGTTTTTGGCGTATATTTCTTGCATTGTCTTTGATTAATTTTGGGAAAACAGAGAAGTCTTTTAGTTTGGCCCAGAGTTGAAATGGGTTTGTTTGGGCATTCAGCTGCATTTATGATTTGTGCGTAGTAGATGTTTGATGATATGCCAAAAAGAAATGTAAAATTATCTATTCGAGAGCTCAACAGTAGAAGTGAAAAAAAAAATTGCGTTGGGGTTTTATCCTGGTTTTGCAGCAACTTTGATTATGTGCAGTCACCTTATGTATTTTTCATTTTTATGAATCCCAATTAGCTTCTCAAAACATGTAGTAGAGCATTGTGATTTGCCTATTTGCTTTCTTTGTTGTTCTGTTTAGGGATGGCAATGGGGGCGGGTGCTCGTGGGCAACCGCCCCGCGGGGGGCTCTCGGGGCGGGGGCGGGGCCTCTGTTCGGAGCTGTATAGTTTACTTAACTGTGTTTATTCTCATTTGTACCCTAACTTATTCCCATCTGTACTCTGCTAGAGCAAACTAGCTGCCTGACTTGGTTTGAATTGATCTATTCCCACCCTTTTGGTGCATCTTTATTTGGGTTCATGTCGTGTACTTCTTGTTGTTTCCATCATAAGAAGAATATTGTTGCATTTGAGATCTTAAGTTTACCACAAAATTGAGTTAAAAGCGGATGCTAACATGTAACTTTCACCGGGTAATAACAAAATATCAAAATTTGGGAACCAGATCAGATAATTATTGACCTTAAGAACCTTTCAATACTTAAACTATGCATTTATTAAAATGTATCTGAATGGATTTGAAATAAAAAAGTTTAGTACTAACAACAAGGCACACCCTTGTAGATCCATCATATCACGTCTTCAAGCACTATTAAACCTTTTTCCTTGAATTCAAATGTTTAATCCTAATTGCAGAAGGTAGCAATGAGAACACCATTTTTCGATTTTACGTTTTAATTGCTAGAGTACCTTGTTAACTTATTCTCCAGGATTGAATCAAATTCCACTGAAAAACCTGATCTGTCTTCCATTGTTGAGAAGCTAGCAGCTAATGGGGCTTCTGAGCATAATTCGGAAGATCAAGCGTAAAGAAAAGGAAATGCGGATTCTTATGGTGTATGTATCGAGAGCCCAGTTGCCCCTTTCCTTTGTTTTGTCATTTTCAAGTTCAGTCTTTAGATCTAACCTTCAGCTTTGATTTTATTCTTGAGACAGAGGCCTGGATAACTCTGGTAAGACGACAATTGTGATGAAAATTAATGGGGAAGACACCAGTGTTATTAGTCCCACGCTTGGCTTCAACATCAAGACTATTATCTATGAAAAGTATTCTTCTCGCTTCTCCAAATTTTTGCTACTTTTTTGAAGTTTCGGCTTGTTCATATCTATTTTTAATATTTCTGGAGAAAAAGAAAAAAAAAAAGAAAGGATATTTGAGACATCTTTAAGAAGGGGATTTTTTTTTTAATGGCTTGACTGTAGTCTCACTTGCAGAGCTTCTTTTTCATTATAATATCTGGATGGGCTTTCTGGGGTTTTCATTCTGAAGAGGCAATCTAGCAATCACATGGGTGACCATGTTCTAGGTGCAGAAGTTGGGGCTTCAGTTTGTCTCTGTTAAAGATAAAATGAGCTTGTTCTGTCATTATATTGCTTGAGAACTTTAGTGGATCTTATATGAAATTGGTGTGGATCGTGAAGAAGGAATTTTTGTGGATATAGTTGAAAATAGAACATTGAGTCCTATCAGTTGTATTAACTCTAATTAAATTTGATTTCTCTGTTGGTTGTGGTTTTGAAGGATGAGCTGCTAGATTAAACTGTGTAATTGGCAGGTATACTCTGAATATTTGGGATGTTGGGGGACAGAAAACAATTAGATCTTACTGGAGGAACTATTTCGAGCAGACTGATGGATTGGTTTGGGTTGTGGACAGTTCAGATCTTAGAAGGCTAGATGACTGCAAATATGAATTGCATAATCTTTTGAAAGAAGAGGTATATCTTATGTTCGTAATTGTTTTGCTCAGTTTGAGACCTGTTTTCCTATTTAAAAGAAGAAACTTGTGGTCTTTAGTTAGGCTATGGATTACATTTTCATTTTGCTAAATTTTGACAGTGATTAATTTCCTACCATAGCTTTAACTGATCACCCTGACATCCACAATTACAATTTATTCACTTTCAATTTTGCTATTTGTGGCATACTGCTCCATTTCATATGGTCGACTTGGTAATCTCATGGACATCACAACACGCATCATTGTTATGTGGGGAAGGATATAATAATGTTTCCCCCTTCAGCATAAAAATCTTCAGACTAGTGATATCCCATGCTGAGGTATTGTACTTGGAACTTGGCAAATTGACATGGTCATGACTAGAAAGAATGAAAGATCAAAAATATCTGTATACCTTATCCAGTTGTTTGAAGTAGAAGACACAAAGTGCCATTCCATGGTGACCTCATAGCCTTCAAGTCCTATTTTCCTAATCTTAACAGTTTCTCTATTTTTGGTATATGGGGATAAAAATTTGATTAGCTCATTTCTTACTCACCCGGTATAAATTGGGAAAGTCAAGTTTGTCCCTTTCCCTGTCTATACCTATTAAAATCCCGGGCAAATAAGGTTGTCTAATGTCACTGGTCCATAAAACTGCCTCAGTTTCCTGGATTGAAAAGCTGTACACTTACTTTCCAAAAAATGTTTAGATTGTTTTTGAAATTGTTGGATTTGTAACACTCTCTCTCTCTCTCTCTCTGCTTTTTTGATGTGAAATGACAGAGGCTATCAGGAGCATCATTGTTGATTTTTGCAAACAAGCAGGATATACAAGGTTCTCTCTCTCCGGATGAAATAGCTAAAGTAAGCCTGAAGGCCATCAAATCAGGCTCCTTTTTGCTAGAATAATCTTCTTATTTTTTCTTCTATTTTTGTTTCTTCTCCTATAATTGAAAGAGAATGGAGGCCTAAGGATTATACATGCAGGATGGCAGTCTATATCTGGATTTGCTTCATATTCCTGATTCATATGAGAGCAGTGTTTCTGGAGTGGATATATATTCCTGAATCATATGAATAAAACTGTACAATGTTGAGACCAAATCCTTTACTCATCTTCTTCTTGTTTTATTGATTAGGTACTCAACTTAGAAGCTATGGATAAAAGTCGACATTGGAGAATTGTGGGATGTAGTGCATACACTGGAGAGGGGTTACTTGATGGATTTGATTGGTTGGTCCAAGATATTGCCTCTCGCATCTATATGCTTGATTAGGCTGCACTGTCTTGGATAACATCATTGGCACAAGATCTTGTTGTTTAGTTTTTACTGACCAGTGTAAACCTCTAGATGTCTTAATTGTGCACTTTCATCTGCCTTGGGATTAAGAGACTATGGAAAGCTTTAGCCAGACAAATGTTCATAGAAATTTGTATTTGGAAAAACAGAGGATATTCTCTAGTGTCTTACTACAGTATTTGAATCTTAAGTGCATTGTTTTGTTACAGCGGGGTGTATTTTAGGTGGTACATTTCCTCCATTTTTTTCGGGGCTATCCAAACCCCCCCACCCCAACCCCCGGCCCCCCACCAAATCGGTTTCTTGTGCTTTGGATGGCTGAAGGGCATGATACAGATCCTCAGCCTGGTATCTGGTGGAAGTCCTGACTAGTTCAGGCATTGGTCAACAATCTCTAGGGATTTGTTTTACATCAATAACATTCAAAAATCTAATTAAGCAAGCTCTATTTCTGCTTAAGTTATGCTGAGACGCTAATTGATTTAGGACAAGTTAGTGAACCCAAACCCTGGTGATTGCGGTTTAGTAAAAATACATTAACAAAGATATTAAAATCTTCACTGGAAGGTTTTTGATGTATGGCAAAATTTACATTTTCTCAAAATTTCAAGATTGTTCCCTTCAGTTCCTCACTAAAATGTCAGCTAGGCACAGAATTGACGCTGAGACAACGGTCCCCCACTTTTTGGTACCCAACTACTCCAGCAGGCCTCAAAATGTTGGCAACTTTGTTGAGGTCCAATCAACTTTAAGCCCGGTAATTCTTGCTCTTATAGTGCATAGTGCACTGTTTTTCTTTCTTTCTTAAAGTTTTCGAGTCTTTGTTATGTGGGTTGATCAGCACTTTGTTCCAGCTCTAGATTTGTAAAAGGGATTCAGAAAACTAATCATGCTTTCTTCCTTATTTCAGGATACCAGATTTGTTTACAAGCATTATGGTACATTATACTTTGTGATTGATTTTGATAATTCTGAAAATGTGCTCGCTATGCTTGACTTGATTCAAGGTACATCCCTTAACCATTTAAGCATCAAAGCATGTCTTTTATAACTATAGGTTGCGCCATTACGCGGATAAGTTTCCTTCTATTGGAGTTAGATAAAGTAACAAATAAATGCATCATGTAGAATATGACTTTTTTCTGATCATAGATTATGTATTCGTTCAGAAAGTTGAGATGCATTAGAGCAAAACACTTCATTTTAGGAATTGTTGAAATGGAAAGACAAAACCTTAACACTAACAGATGAAACATCTGATTTTCTGGCAAGTTAATGGAATTACTGCTACTGCCAATCCATAAATGAAGAGCATTTGATGGACTTACTGTTTTGTCTGCTTTTACAGCTGAGTATTGCTTGTATTTTGTTATCACCGTCAATGAATTTTGGATCATTCACCTTTGATAACATCTTGATGTGTTCAATTGTGTGGATGCGAATGTGGATCTTGCATATCATTTATCCACCTTAGCATAGTTGCGTAACATTCATTTGGTTGATGGAATCCGCCAGGTAAAGATTGAGGAATTCTTTGTATTCAACTTCTGAACTCTCTTTCAATTTTTGCAAGTCATTGGACAAATGCTTCAGAAATGTGTGCGAATTGAATATATTATTCAATTGTAACAAAGTTTTATTACTGCTCTTCCTTTCTATATTTCTTTTTCATAGTTAGGGATTACAAACTCTCAGCACTAGATTGATATTCCAGCACCTCTAGTGGTTAGAACTCCTTTTTCAAGTTATACAACCTTCATGAACCTACATTCTCAATCACTCAATAACATTTTATTTGGATTTTTATATATTCCAAGTGGCAAAATTTCAGATTTACTCTGCCGTTAACACCTCCAATGATTCTCAACTTAAGCCATCATGAATCTACTACCTTCTCAATTATAGATAGGTATATACCTAGATACTATAGTTGCCCTTTGTTCGCGTGCATCTTTTTCTGCTTGCCCTTTTATTTCAATATCTGCCATTCATAAATTTTGCTCTGAGCTTCAAGTACATACTTCAGAAATAAGTCGCTACCAATAAAAAAAATTTAGGGATGAAATTGGTCATTTTCCGTATGGATATAGATAATTTTTTTATACACTGTCAATGTCAATGTGTGTGTGTATATATATATATATATATATTACACTAATTCTCTTTTGTACTAGTCATAGAGATGTAGACACTTATTGTTTGGGAATATTAAAAGTTAAACAATCTACTTTTTGAGAATTAAGCAGATGTTGACATTAGTGTATTGATATTGATAGTTATTTAGATCTTTCAAACTTTACTATTCAAATTCAAAATTTGAATTTTATGATAGATTTTATCAACAAAAACACAAAGGCATAAGAGAGAGGAACGAGTAAAACTTATGCTTTGACTATTTGAACCTGAAAAATATTTTTATTGATAAAACATTATAATTTCATTAAACATACACAGATATCAAAGAACAGATTTAAAAAATAAATGCTATACATTTAAAGAGCAGAAGAATAGTTAAAAATTGCAGTATAAAGCCCCAAATTTAAAAATGAGCTAAAGTAATTGTACCTCCACGGACATCTGTGCACGCTTCCAATCGTCGAATCTATTGATTAACTGTTTTAAATCTAGATATTATGATGATATCTACCGAATAGTTCCAAAAAAATTCCAGATCTGATAATCAAAATTTGAAAAAACTCGGATCTAATAAAAGAAAATTGAAAAAAAAACTATCAAAAACTTTCACTAGAAATTCATAGGAAAGAATAAAAATCTCACTAAAAAGTAGGAATGGCAAAGGGGTGGGGGCAGGGGACCCGCTGCCCACTAATTCCCCCCTCCCCCGTCCTGCCCCACTTCCCCTGTGGAACTAATAAAATTTGTCATATAATTTCATTATAGTCAAATTTTTACAAGCAATCAATTATTAAAATATCAACACATCATTGAGTCATTAGCCATTGTAATTTTACAATTGAAACCCATAAAATCAATCAAAAAAAACTATTTGAATACAATCCAACATAATGAAACAAATGCAACTAAAGTAGTCAAGTTTTCACTTTTGAAGCAAATACAATCACTAAATCATTATTGTATTTTTTTTGAGAAAAAAGTGTTATTGTGTTAAGTGTAATTAGGAATATAGGATAAATGTATTAGTAAATTTAGTATAACTAATTAATAATCTCTATTAGTAGACATGTATAATTATTCATATAATTGATAGTATCAATTATATTACATATGCTAATATATATTATATAACACTTATAACTAATAATATTATTATTATAATTTTGTAACAAATTAAATTAAATATAATATATATATATATATGTGTGTGTGTGTGTATAATTTTTTTAATGGGTGACGGGGTGGGGGTATACTCCCCCGCCCCCTACCTCTGTGACGACCTTACCTCCCCTTAGGGCGTACCCTAAAGTTTAACAAACAGCTTGCCTAATTCTCATCAGAACTCATTCAAAATCTTCCAATCAATAGCATTAACTCCAAAATAAACATAAAACACTACAATTAAACATTACAAACCATCCAACATTCCAAATCATCCATACTTATGTGTCCAACTAAATGGATCAAAATATAAGTTATTCAATCAATTCATTAAATACAAATAGGATTGCAATTTACTTAAATCAAAGATTTCAAATCTCAAATTCACTATTTCTTGGTTCCACGTTTTCAACCCCTGTTAAGGAAAACAAATTAAAATTGCGAGTTTACGTCTAGTGAGGTTCTAAGAAAACAAGTATTTTAAACACACATTCAGTAATATAACAGGAATAACAAACCAATTAATAATAAGATAATTTGTGAAACAATTCTTAACAAATAGCACAATCAATATCAAAAGATATGACTGATACAGACTCTAGGGGTGGCTCCCATCCGTTTTCAGATGTAGCACTTAGCTCCATTAAGTAATTCATTTCACGACTTCCTACAATCATTTCACATTCCACCAATCTCCTTCTTATATCCTCCAAAACAGTATATAATCCCCTTCAATCATGAATCACTTCCCCAATTCAACAGTATCCAACATTCTCCTCCTTCCAGTGTTTGGTGATCACCTCGGTGGGTAATAATTGAGTATACCAATAAACTGTATCCAAGAACTATCGATCTATTTGACCAAGCCCGTTGCTGGCTCGAATAGGCTGACCATCGATGGGGTTCGGACCTAATAACGGTCATGCATAGTTACAGTATTACTTGGTTAATTATCAACCTTCAAACTCAACTAAGCGTGTGCAATAAAGTACATCCCCGACTTAGAAAGCGAGGAACAATTGAGGTATACTTTACAATGATTCACTAACGATATTTCCAAAATTCACTTAGGTCGAGTGCAATAAAATATGCGCTCGTCTTTCAGTAAAATAGTAGCAATTATTAAACGCCACTCTAAACAATTCAAACATCAATAATCCAACAAGTGTTAGTCAATTAAACACATAACATTTATCGTTCATCATGTTTTCAATCATTACAAACAAATACAGAACACTCACGAAATCGAGTGAAAAGTCATGCCTCGACTTCCAGGTTTCCTTTTACCTCACCATCGACTCCTGGAACATGCCCAAACTATAATTACTAGACCTTTCGACACTACTAACTTTCTTTCCAAAATTACTAAATTATCATAGTCAAATCAAGTGCAATAATACATGAAAATCTAGTTTAAAAGGGTTATCAAACATGTGAGCAAAAAGGTATAAAGGTTTGTAACCAAATTCTTGGAAATAAGATTGGAAACCTTACCCTCACTCTCGGCTTCTTTTAACAGAATTTTCTCACCAACATTGCATCAAATTTTTCTCCAAAAATAGTAAATTTATTCATGCATGTCATGATTAAAGCATTAAAAGTTTAATAAGCCAATATGTGCATGTTTGCAGCCAACATTTTATTGTTAAATCTGAAATAAAATGGTGGTTACAGTGACTTTCGGGCTTCAAACAGAAAATTCCAGCATTTCGATTCAAATTTTCTCTTATAGCTTTTAGATTTAGCATGGCAAAACTTGTCATTACCCATTAACATGCATATCACATGAATTTACAGTAAAATGGCAACAAAATTTCGAAATAAAGATTGAAATTTAACCATGATTCAGGGTTGGAAATTTTTATCCCAAAATAGGCTACATGCATGTTGATTTCTAACCAAAATCTCAAC